TCATTTTTGTGGTGATTGTCGCTTCAAGCGGAACTATTTTGTATTTATCATTACAACGCGTTATTCGTAAGAAACAAGATGGGACAGACCGATTATAGCTAAAGGAATTAATGAGGAGGAAAACACCATACACAAACAAATAAGCCCGAACAAGACTTCCTTATGGTAAAAGAAAAGTTGACCCAATGATTAAGTGAATGTCACAAGAAGCGGGAAAAAAATCAAGGAATATGTACCATGAATGTCTTCTCCAGTATAAATTTGGTTCTTCTGGGTTTAACGCTCAAGTGTGCTTGAAAATTGCAATATGCAATACCAACATGACAAACTGTGCTGTCAAAACTAATGTCTGTGTGTGCGCGCGTGTGTGGAGATTTTAAACCAAAATACAGACAACTTTATACGTAATATTATGTACGTCAGGGTTATTTTTACCTTATTTTTTCACTTTGCTTTCCATTCATCCTACGTTATTTTGTTTCTAACCTTCTTACGAATAGTACCTAAAGAAATCTCTAGTGAACACGATAATTGGCCTTCGTTTTCCACAATGTGCAGTGAATTTAATGAGCTGAACGACTGTCAGTTTCTTACGGAGTTCGTTATTTAATGTATTTAAAACTCCGACATGGATAAGTTCTTCCAGGTCTACTTTAAATGGAAAAAGTTCGTTTATGTGTTGAGTAAACAAGGAGACAGGCTCATTTGTATTCAGATTCGACCGCTCTTGGGTGACACACAAATAGTTTCAGAATGAAAAATGTTTAATGTAAAATTCTGTCCCGTGATAAAAGTTCGAAGATATACATTTATCTCCCAACGGAAATGAATTCTGAAGGCGTATAACAATGCATACCATAATGAAAACATTGAAGCCTATTTATAATAAAAGGTAACACGTTACAATCCTTCATTATTTCCATTGTGAGAGATTTACTTTTTTCTGGTCATATCAAAAATTTATTTATCGGTGTCAATGAATAGTACTTCTTTTGATGATTTATAACGTCTAAGAACCAGATCCTGAAGAAGTTAAATCCTTTACGCTTCAATATTCAAAATGTTGTTTCGTTTATCCGTGATACAAGTCGTCTACATTGAGCCGGGTAGCTCAGTCAGTACAGTGACTGACTACGGTCTGGTCGATTGGGGTTTGATCCCCGACTGACGCACATGGTTTCTTCTAGCCCCTGCGTTCAAACCGGGTCTGCGGCCCGCCCAACCTCCTGTCTAGTGGATACCGGGGTCCTTTTTCGGGGTTAAAGCGTGGTCGGGGCGTGCTGGACAACACTCACCCCCTTCTAGTGCCCAGGTTGAGAATGAGTAGGAGCTATACTACCTCTCTCATGAGAGCCAACATTGGCATGTAACGGGATGACTTTACTTTCGTCATAAGTCATCTACAGTACGGTCCTTCTTTTAAGTACGCTAATAATACGAGGAGTAGTAGTGCAAACCAGAGGGTTCTAACCAATTTATTTCGAAGCTAGGTAATATCTTTGTATTGAAATCTACATTAGCGTTCTATAAACCCTTTAATGCCGTGGTTTCTTAGCGTCTGTGAGAACTACAGGAATTTGTGACGAACGAATAATGATGAAAACGCCCCAGTAGCTACTGCCATATGGGAAATTAACATTCTAATTTAAATTTTTTTGGGTTTAGTAAGGCCTACAAATTTTGGGATTTAGTTTAGTCGCAATTCAGACCAATGGCACTGAAATACATTAATTTGCAAATATATGAAGCGTTTGTCTTAACATTTTTGTATTGGAATAAACATAGTGTACGTAACTGTATGTTAATATAAAACAGAAACAGACAACTGGGTATTTATAGATGATTGTCTTCTAGGTTGTAGCGCCGTGTAGTATGGTAGAAGTTTACCAACGTTTCAGAGTTCCTTACTGCCTCCATCATCAGGGGGATGACCAAACGTTGGCAAACTTCTACTAGACTACACTGCGCTACAACCTAGAATACCGCCATCTTCGTACGCATCGCAGTGAAAATATAAAATCCTACTAACTGAGGATTCTTTCATGTGCATATTTATTCCACTCAAACTACGAGGCGTTTGCCCCAAGTTTCTGCTCGATCAATGTGAATCCACTTGTATACTAATGCAGTAGGATAAAGGGCGGGCCACTCACTGCAGATTAAGGTCTTAACGAGTTATCCCATCATATGTGTCCGAAGAGAAACATCACTCCCATTAAACATTCTGCTTCCTCCGAGGTCTATTTGTACAATGGTGAAGAGAGAAAAAAACCCACTAATTATAACATAAACGATTGTCGGTATGTTTCACATCTCTTCCATACACATAATAATTTCTTGCAATGTCTATTGGTAAAACTGAGAACAAAAAATATACACCACATCAACGAATATGATCGGTTTCAATCTCGTTCTGGGATCGTGGCTTGTTCTAAATCAGATTTGCTTTTGTAATTATGAAGAAATTTAGACAACTATCAGGACTCCGTGGACAAGGACAAGCATCTATGTCTTGAGCGTGATTCGAACCCAAGATTCCAGCATCCAAGAGGCAAAAACCCATTTAATGCGGCATTATCAACAACAATAAATATGTTTTGTCACTATTAAAATTTCAAGAGAGTCATTTATAGCAGCCCGGAAACCACCCCGTCGAATTTAACGAGCCAATTCCTCTAGCAGAAACAATGATAATGTAGATTATCAAAAAAAACTTACAGAGAGGAAGACACAGAAGAGAAAATTAAAAATATTTGCTCTAAGACGTGACGATGTTATTCCTATTTTTTTTCGTCGTGGGCCGAATAACAGAAGAGCCAACTTATAACGAAACTACGTAAATACATTTCCATTTGATACAGGTTGGGTCATTAGACACTGAACTTAATTCTAGATAAAGAAAATGTTACAATACATTCACATTCGTCATATTCACAATGCTACGTAAGTATATCTGTTGTTACTAAACAGAACACATATTTTTCTTCCCTAATGTCGTTATTTCGTCCTCTCCTTCTGCAACAGCCCATTAAAGTTTCCTGGAAACTTTTCTTTCTAGCGTAATTTCCTTCTTTCATAGAAATGTTTCCTATCCGCTAAATTCCATGACGCACATTAAGGAACAGACTGATATTAACAGAAAACAATAAATATACGCGCGTTATTTTCAGTTAAATTATTATAATTTTTCATTTTCGTGATACAAGAATTTCGTAATGTGTTACTACTTTCATCCAACATTGATTTTCACTCATCATTCTTGGAAAAATTTCGAAAATATGAGTTTTCATTTTAAGTAACTTCCATTTGATACAGCTTTTATTCACTGTATAGTAGAACCTCAATATCATCCAACTTCTCGCAGCCATGTCTATTTCTTTAACTATCTTCTGACGTTTTAAAATTATACACAAGAACTAAAAAGGGAAAAGCTGAGTCCACATCTAAAGATTCAACCAGCTCTGAGTGGATAAACAGGACGCATACAGCGTTGGAGGGAACAATAAATTACCACTTTTTTTGCAGAAATCAGAATGTTTAGCAAAGAATATTATCGGAACAGACTCACTGGAGACTGAAAAAAAATGTCCAGAGCTTACATACTTATTTTTCGAATCCAATGCACATTCTCCGTCAAATGATTTACAATTTATATTTTCATGCTAGTACAGAGGAGGGTTCGATCATGATAAGAAATAAAGATGGCTGTCTTCTGGGTTATTGCGCAGTACAGCCGCGTAGAAGTATACCGACGTTTCAGAAGTCCTTGCTGCTTCCATCATCAGGGCGATGAGTAGTCATCGCCCTGATGATGGAGGTATTGTTGCAACAATTCAAACCGGAGCTACTGTTGGCTCACCTAATGTTATAATGACCACGGATGACATTATTGCAATAATGACCTTTGATACCATTGCTGCATTTTTTTATTACCGTGGCTGACGTGCCGACGTTAACGCCCTTGGTGAGTGTGAAGAACGCCTTTGGCATTTTGGTGTTCTCCAAATAGCACATCTTCCCAAACTTGACATGTCGTCTGCGATGGATGCTACACTGAAGTGGTCCTCACCCATGCACGACATAATATGGCACTTCTTATTTCAGCCAGAAGTATTCTGTACGCAGAGAGGCTAAGAACGCACGTGGAACCTGTGTAATCCCTACGGATTACACCTTCCTAGTCTTATCACCGCATAGTAGTTGCTTCATACATTAAATCTTATGCTGTTGTGTGCCTGGCGACGAAAGATAGGACCTAGATGACACTATGAATCGCTAGTTGCTTCATACATTAAATCTTATGCAGTTGTGTGCCTGGCGACGAAAGAGAGGACCTAGATGACACTATGAATCGAAACCACAAATGATCTCCAAGCAAAGAGGACAAAAACAGGAAGGATATTGTAATTTACAACGCTACACTATATATAGGTCGTATCTTAAAGGAAACAGCGTCCTAAAATAGAGGAAATACGTCACACAATCGATGAAATTTTAAAATATAGCAAATACGCTATTTACTGTAGTTTTTACTCTAACACAGATCTTCTGAAGAGGACTTCATGGATTTAAACTTAGACGTCTAAAGTTAATGTCAGTTAAATGGAAGAGTAATAGAGAGAACTCATCATCAGAGGGTTGTCAGAATTCTGGATCAACAACTGGGAACAAAGCAGTTGATATTCCTAATAGATTAATTCTATAAACCTAATATATAACCTACGATGCATTAACAATAAGTTTAACGTGGTATTCGCAAAATTATCTACCGTAAAAACTATCCTCCATTTCACGTGATCGATTATGTATTAAATGTACAATTTATAGGATTATTTAAGTTATGGCACGCTACGTTTTTAAATTTATAAATAACCTGCACAGAAAACAAATTGTAATTCTTCTTTGACGATCAGTGGACTCTATGCTACAAGCATTTTGTGCGCATTCCTTGCACTTTAAACTATTTGTTTCTAAGTTTAACAAAAATAAATTTAACAGACCTTGTCAATACGGCGACTTCAACATTTCCATGAAGCCTAACAGATCTCGTGGGCTTCTTCTATTCCGCACCTGAAAGAAATAAATCAGCGATATCAGATATCAAGAAGCGAGTTTCAGCTTGTTTTTACAGGACTACAACAATGGCAGAAAACGATACGCCAATAATCATGACGGAAGAAAAGAGTAACGGCAGTTCATACACAGCTGATATGACGCACAGCGAAACCATTTTCATCGTACTAATGAACCAGCTCGAGAACAGATACCGCGGTTTTAATTAAATTTAATAATGGGAAAGATTTTACAGAAAAAATGTCAAAACATTTCAATTTTCATTTAGATCTGACAATCTTAACCATCATTCTACACACGAGCACAAATACATTTTAAAGCTCGTCTTAAATAATTGTAAGAAAAATTACATAAATTGATGTAACTAACTTTTAATATGACGTAATTCACACTTGAGTTCATACTCCACTTCAAGACGTCTTAATTTTCCCGCAGTGAACAGAAATGTTGCATCCACATCGCTCTGAAATTGGAACAACTTCTGATTCATAAGAATACATGATAAACCAACTCGAATGAACTGATTAGACATACTTCCTAGGTTCATATATTTAGTGTTTTCCTGAGCTGTGTCCATACTCCATAATACGAAGTGTTTAATTTAAAATGCAACCCTTCCTACCATACACGAACCCTTTCACGCACAAAAACGACTAAACTAGTGCAAAAATTGCAATGTACCGCTGTTTCAGCTGATGCACTAATTAAAATCGGTACAGCTGTAAATCAGTTATTTTGTTTGTTGTTTTGAAATTGAAATGCTACTATGGTATAGAGACAATGTTACCAAGATGATTCAAAAACTATCTGGTACACATAAGACATCAGCATAAGGTAGCAGCAAATTTTAAAAGTATTAACAAATAAATGCAAATATTCTGAGAAAAGTTGCCATAAACTCATTGCTTTCAAAGTCTAAAGTTTAATGCTTTCATTTATTAGGTCTTACATGTACTGACTTTTGAGAACTTCGTTATGAATTCATATGATGTGGGAGTGTAGCTTGTTACTTCATTCAGAACAACTTCTAGACTTCTCTGCCTATTTCCTGTCAAGTAGCTATCCTTGGCGCAAAGTGGCACTTTGCACATGGACCTTGGTTACACGCGGTGTTGATATGGATTGTTATAACGAAGCCGACAGCGTTGTAACGCCATCTATTGCCGGTGAGATAAACTTCACCGACATGGGATCTCGCGTTACTGGCCCCGTGAACTAACAAATTAGCAAAGAAAGTCCAATCAGAATGATTATAATTCAAACTCTGTACATTATTTTAAATATAAATTATACTATCCGTCATTAGCCGCTTCTGTTAGAAAAATGAATTTTTCGGGAAAGACAAAACACAAAAATTTCAGTCAAGGTAACTGGTATTGTAACTCGATTCAACTATGTAGCTTTCATTTGCAGTAATCGATGTTGATGACTACCTAAGATGCAGACACCGAAGACGGGCGGTATGCAAAGAGAAAGACAAATATACACACTGCGATTATAGAATTGCCAGTTATTATTAATTAATAATTTCCAATTATTCATTATTACCATAACACATATTCCATGTCGTAGATTTCGGCATGTAAAAGAACCTTACGGGAATGAACGAGATGTTTCGTAAGCAAAATTTAGCTGCCATTTCTCACCCATGTCTTTAGCAGACGCCTTGCGATGGGCTGACCACTCGTCCAAGATGTCCCTACCAAATGTCTGAAAACAGATCAGAAACCTCCGAAATGAGGCCTACGTAGGACATAAAAGGGTATAAGAAGACCATAACATATAACAATATATAAGTGTAATAGAGAATTTAATAGCAGTTCTCGGAAACTACATCAGAAAAAAATTCACGTAATAAAGAATAAATAGGTTATGAATCTTCCGGACGCACTTGGTAATTCGAAAAAGCGTGAGTTTCGCCTCCTGTCACGATTTCAATCTCTGCTACTCCTTTGTGGCTGGCAGCCCCATACACTTGTAATTGTAATCTTAGTCCTTATTATAAACAAACACTACAGACATTCAAAAAGAAGAATGTGGTCTGAAGTTCTTTGCCAGTTCACTATATCCACGGCTGATATTTTTAATTGTTACACATTCAAAAACGTGGGGAAGGCTTGGACGAAAATTGTGGAAACAGATATAGGTACGGAAAGGATAAAGGAATTTCAGAAAGGGAGCGAGAGCTAAAAATACAAAATAAAATATTCCCCGCTAAATTCTGAATTGGGGGTTTAACTATTGATTTTATATGCTCGATCTCCTAGAAAGAATTATCTGTTGGTAACAGATTTCGTTGTACCTCCTATGATGATGATGATGATGATGATGATGATGATAACAGAGAGACGAATCGCGATTAAAACTTTTGCCCGTCTACATTCCCTAGCCGATGTTGGACATATGTACGTATGTTATTAGATATTCAACTTCTGACGAAACCACGGACCGTGATGAGGTAATCGCAGCACAGTGCCTACATGATCCGCTTTGGGGAGAATGCTTTTATCTACTTAGACTCACGAATTCCGTGTGAAATTAAAACCGCACGGTCACTTAATCTCAATTACTTTTTATATTTTAATTCACAAAGAACTCTTCTTGCATACGGCTACTTACGTCAGTGGCTACAATCCTGACTCCAAGCCTGCTATTATTTATAAACTTTGCTGCTTCATATAGACTCATAGGACGTCATCATTTCCCTTCAAAACCTGAAATAACGTTGGTCTGTGATTCAATGAAGCTGTATCAATTTCAGAAGTTATTTCCCGCAGAATGACACGAGAAAATAATACAAGTAGTGGCTTGTGAACAGTCATGGCTCATTTGTCTCTACATACGAGGCTCGTCCACAAAGTAAGTTTCCCTGGGGCCGTTTACAGAAACAAAACACAATTTCATGGAAATATTTATTGCAACAGATACAGCAAGTGTCCAGCTATTTTTCAACATATTCGCCACCGGAATTGAGACATTTGTCATACCGTGGGACCAACTTTTGAATACCTGTGTCGTAGAAGTCGCCCGCCTGGGATTGGAACCACTGTGTGACAACCATCTCCGCCTCTCTGTCATTCTCAAAACGCTGACACTGACCGGACAGGAATTTCTTGAGGTGTAGGAAAAGATGGAAATCACTGGGAGCGAGATCCGGGCTGTAGGGTGAATGATTAAACACCTCCCAGCGGAACTCCTGCAGGAGACTTGCTGTCCGTCGAGCCGTGTGCGGCCTAGCGTTATCACTGACCGCACTTCACAGTCGGCGGGAGCTGGAATAAGAACCTCCATCTTCAACAGCTGCAACGATGCTACTGTGAGAACGCGGGAAGTACCGTTAGTGCATGCGCCATGCTACGTCATTGCTCTATCACGTACGCACAGTCGCTTCGCGCCATATAAGGTTTGCTAGCTGTGGGACGAGTGGGAAACTTACTTTGTGGACGCGCCTCGTATCTTCCGATTCGGGGCCATCTTCGATGACTTCAAAGTCTTAAGCTGATTAACTAATATTCTGTTGCTAAGGACTCTGTAGCCTGATCATTAAATGTCGCCATTTTGTGCTGTCCTTAATCAGCATAATCCAGTACACGTTGCACCTTTATAACCTGAATTTCTAACACATCTAGACTGACCCGCAATGTTTTTATTCGTCTATTAAAATCACTTCGTCTGTCCATCTGTCTGTAAGAATGAAATGTGTACGTGTAAATTTAATATTAGCGAGTTTCATTAACATTTATCGACATAGTTCAATCCAGGTTAAATATCACAATTTCGCGATCTTTATATGAAGAACTAAATGAGTTTCTGTGTGCCGAAGGGTGTGGATGACGAACCTTCAGGGTACCTTGGCTGCAATGGTTACATTGGGTAAAAGTCAAAGATAAAATTCTGGTGAACACGCCAGGATCATTACGCTACACGTACATTTCCTAACTTGTTTAATATAACCACCCCATTAGCGTGTACAAATCTTCCCATGTGGTATTACAACTAAAACTTTACCTTCTTATTTCCAGTAAAGTGTCTTTATCATAAATTTATAAGATATTATTACTGACTTCCTGAGGCCACATTTAATGAACCACACCAGGCAGCAGGGTCAAAGATAAAATGTTAATTAACATGAAAATGGAGCCTTTCTCTCGTACACGTGGTATAATTCATTCTTGCACTGATATTGGTCGCTGGAATGGGCAGGCAAATACAGCTGGACGCTTAGCAAGTGAAGAGCGCTATCTGATGTGATGGACGTTCTGACGTGAACTCAGCAGCGTGTGTTACCCCGAACAAGTTTCAGATTGATGTTACATTCCAAACTCGCTTCAGCTGTAATGTATATATAGAATTTCTATTATATCGACAGAAGCAGCAGAGTAAAGTACAGATTGATTTCTAAGGCCATGGGTTTCTGAATAAAGGATTCTTCATGAGCACCACACAATAAACGATTTCAACGTCCAAAATTGATCCGTTTCAGACACTAGCTTAATCGTACAGCAAAAACGGCTACATTCACACAAGCTTCAAGCACAATTTTCGAAGATACTATTCAAAACATAGGAAGACGATATTTCTTTATCGGTTTTTTCCACACCCACGCTACTCCGTCCTCGTGTATGCCCCGAAGCATTCAAATGTTAATCAAACAATCAAATGTTATTCGCAGATTTATTTGCATTATTGAAACTGCGAAAGGGACGTCAATACTGTGACGACAAGGCAAGAAACTGAGGTCGTTTAAAAAATGGAACAATTTTGTGTGCAGCATCCCACATAGCCAATGTATGAACGAATATTCCCGCAAGGGACAAACTTTAACCCTCTTAAAGTCTGCAGCCTGAGATAACAACCCTGGTAGAAAATAATGATACGTCTGTCACCATTACAAAAGTTCACCATTATTTAAACTGCTTTTAAACTGTTTCTCACAACTTCTATGCCGCGTGAAACAAATCACGTGCATTTTTAGACCGTCGCGACGGTCCATGATG